ACATATCTTTTTGTGTGTTTATCTATCTATTTACCTCTGTAACTACTGTTATATCTACCAATCTATATAGCTAACTATCCATCTATATATCTATCAATATACTTGTTAGTTCATCTAGCTGTTCATCTGTCTATCCATCTATCAAATCACTTAGCTATCTATTGCAAACTATTTATCTATTAATCTATCTATCTCCTCATCTATGTCTGTCTGTCTGTCTGTCTGTCTGTGTCTGTCTGTCTGTGTCTGTCTGTCTGACTGTCTGTCTGTCTCATCTGTCTGTCTGTCTGACTGTCTGTCTGACTGTCTGTCTGACTGTCTGACTGTCTGTCTGACTGTCTGTCTGTCTGTCTGTCTGTCATCCATCCATGTCAAATAACTTCTCTCTCCTTCCCTTTCCCTATCTAGCAATACAATTTACATTTTTCTGGTCCCTGAAGGCCTGGCGCAAAATCTCAACTGAGAATGTCGTGCAACCATTTCATCAACCGTGTGGTGCAGCCAAGAACAAAAAAAATATATATATATTGAAATATGAGACAAAAGTCCACCCTACCCTTCCCTCAATCACCAACCGTTCCTCCCACCAGTCAGGTCGGCAGGAACGAAAAAAGGGAAAGTCAGAATACCCAGCACTAGAGGGAGAGATTCAATGAAGAAAGACAATCCCCATCTTCTTCATTAAGGAAAAAAGCATTTCCCGATTGTCTCAGCTGATGCAAAGGAGGTGAGAAGCTAGGAAAGGAAGGGGGAAAAGGGCATGGGAATAAGCAAAAATCTGCGGGGAAGTACAATAAAAGCAAGGACAGAGCAGATCAAAACAATAACGGATATGCATCTTGACCAGGCTACCTCTTTAAAAAGCCTCATTAGGGGGGGAGGGGAGTGCTTGGAGACTGAGGAGTTGCCGCGATGGATTTTTCTCTCGTTTCTCTATTCCAGGGTTTCTGGATGCATCACTCGATCAAAATGAAATCAGCGTTTCCATGTCATTGTAATTTTTGCAACAGACTTCTTGGACAGAAAAACAGCATTTTCCATCTAACAAATGCCCCACTGTACATATGATTATACATGTTCATACACATGTATGAATATGCACTTATGCATGCATGTATTTAAACTTTTATCTAAATATCTATGCATATGTGTGTGTGCCTTTGAGTGTGAGAGTGCGTGTGTGTGAGTGCGCACGCGCATGCGTGTACATGTATGTGTGAGCGTGCGTGCGTGTGTGTGCACGTGCATGTGCGCGTGTGTGTGTGTGAGTGCATGTGTGCGTGCGTGCGTGTGTGCATATGCGTGTCTGCATGTGCGTGTGTGAATCTTCATACCAGTCTGTTTATCTATCTAAATATTACTCTAGCAGACAATACCTAAACCAAAGTAAAATCATACTGACCAGGACCACTTACAACTGGCAAAAGGAAGCACATACACTTCACAACACATAATTTGCTGAACAGACACATTACCTGGAAACCTGAAAGCCTCAAAGTTCAAACCTTCCATCCAAACAACGGACCACATCTCATCTCAACTGGAACATCTACCATCCCACACCCCAGGTGAACCGAGGGCAAAAAACACATCTACTTGTATCACCCAACAAGGTTCACTTGGACAGAGAATCCAGGACACATTCTACAAAACATCACTCTCTTCTCATTGCCAGGAAGGGAAGCCAAGTCATAATCTACATGCAATTTGGATTCCAGTTCTACATAGTGGATTCACAAAGCACCTTTCTGTCAATGATTTAGCTTAACCATCATCTCTTGAAGGAATTTGAAGCATCTGTTTTGGTTCCCTCAACTGAAAATTAAACTCAATTGCAACCCTTTTCTTATTTTCCTTTTTTTTTGAGGTAATCAAATTAGATTCACAAAAATATTCCTTTAATTTTCAACCTCTCCTAGAAGTCCCATTATACTAAAGGAAATTCAACTTGGCAAGTTCTCCAATTCAATATGAATATTTTTTTCTTTCTCTCTCTCTATAAAACATGACTCTCTGCCATTCATCAGTCACAAACCAACAATATAAAGAAAATAATATTCCTATCATTACATCTCAACAAGGAAAAATAAATAAATTCACTCACCCACTCTCAATACCAAAGAAAATCATCAATACATTTATCAACGACAGACAATGTGGAGAATACATTTCATTACCAGAAGACCTGCCATGCACATATACATATAAAAAGATTCCATTTCCCTTCCACTGCATTTCATTTCATAAGAATATATTGATCCCCACAAGGAAATTCAACACATTTACACACTTGACTTCATATCCACTATTAATACCTTTGGAAAATTACCACACTGATATATATGTCACAAAATGACTGTTCAGAAGTTCCTGGCTATTTGAGAAATAAAATAAGAGTGTCGATTACTTACTGAGCTGGGTGCTGAGCGCTCCAGAGTCAAGATCACCTGGACCAGCACATCAAACAATGTAAGCATCATTGTTTCTATATCTTGCTGCA